AGGTTGACTTGTACAGTGCTCAAGTCAAGTGTGGACTGGAGTTTTAGATTTTCATTTTGATAATGAAGAAAACAAGTATATGAGAAAACAAGTGGTGTTTCTTTGATTTGTTTACATATTGTTTATGTTTTGAATGTTTGGATTTGTATAATTTAAACCTGCACTGACTACTGTAACATGTTCCAGAAAAATAAGCTATTTGTTCCTTTACTTGTGAAAAGTTGCACTTTTGCTAAGGCTTTGTGTTATTTTAGGTTTAATAAACACTGTTAAACCTTTTCAAAACTATTTCAGTTTGTGTAGAACAGGACTATCAATGCTTTCTGAACATATGCAACACCGTTTAAAAAATACCGCGATAATACCGAAAACCGTGATAATTTTGGTCACAATAACCGTGAGGTTAAATTTTCATACCGTGACAACCCTATTCAGCTGCTTTTTAAAGGAGTCCACTGAGTCCACTGATCTCAGGCTCAGGGGGAGAGAGTTCCAGAGTCTGGGGGCCACAGCAGCAAATGATCTGTCACCTTTGGTCTTTAGCCTGGTGCTGCACAACCAGTAGGCTTTGATCACTGGACCTCAGGGACCTGCTGGGGGTGTAGGGACTAAGAAGATCACCAATGTAAGATGGTGCTTGCCCATGTAAGGCCCTATAGACCAGAACCTGGATCTTGACATGAACCCTGAAGTTGACTGGCTGCCAGTGAAGCTGGAGGAGAAGCGGGGTGATGTGGGTGTGTTTGGAGGACTCGGTCAGAAGCCGAGCACAGGCATTCTGAACCACCTGTAGACGGTTCAGGGAGGTTCTGCTCAGACACGTGAAAAGAGAGTTACAGTAGTCTAAGCGTGAGGAGATGAAGGTGTGGAGAACTGTCTCAAGTTCAGAGCGGGACAGAATGGGACTCAGCTTAGCAACGTTCCTGAGATGGAAGAAGGAAGAGCGAACAAGAGAACTGACATGAGAATCCAGGGTGAGAGCTGGGTCAAAGGTCACGCCAAGATTCCTGATGGAAGGTTTGGTGTGGGAAGCAAGCTGACCAAGAGAGTCTCTAACTTTGGGAACCAGCTTGTCTGGGGCACAGATGAGGATCTCAGTCTTATCTTCATTCAGCTGAAGAAAGCTCCCACCATCCAGGTTTTGATAGAGTCTGAGCATTATGGAGCATTACAATAATTAGAAAACACATCCCGCTTGTCCTTTAAGTTTCACTTTCACTTATTTGGGAAGTACACTGATTAAAAACATGTTTATAATATGACGTAGCCCAAACTCTAACCCTATATTTAAAAGTAGCAGTGTTGCTTTTATTTCAAGTTGCATGCAGTTGCAAGCTACAAGAGCTATTTTCTAATCTGCTTCGCCTTACACCCTGGATCGCACATATGTTGTACTTCAATTTAAATGAAAAGTAATCATGTGTGTTTCGACCACGCCAATCACGTACTTTGAGATTTGTCAGCTTGTAAAAGTTTGTAATTCCTTGGACTCCAAATCAAACATATGACGTCACCACCGTGCCTCCCCGCTAGCGTAGCTGCTACTTACCCCAATGACAATATTTATGGTAGTTCTTTCCTCCTGAAGGAAGGATTTGAAGTTTGCTGAACTTACTACCTTTTTTTTCTCTGTAGTTCTCCGTGTCTGGTTCGATGACATCAATTTGGTTATGTGCATTAGCAGTTTGTATCTCTGTGTTAGCCTGCTTGCTAACCGCTCCATTTTGGTGTCTGAATCCCTGCCTGCTGTAAATTGTGTGACGTTACTGTGTTGTTTTCAAATATGAAATAAATAATATTGGTGTAGCAGAACGTGTTGAAATAAAAACTAAGCCGTTTTTATTCCATTTGAAAATGTCTATCTTTGGATGAATTTTAAATCCGGAACTGCGCTGCTCTGGGCGTTGGAGTAGCTCTGTTGACTATCTGTAAGTTTTGCCTTTTCTTGGACATTTTTCCTTCTAGTTTTTCAAGAAAAACGGTATTTTTTGGACACTTTACTTTTCTGTTTCTGGTGCTGTGAAGCTTGGAGGATTTTTACTGCTATTTTTTAGCTTTTTTCACTTTTTGAACATTTGTTATGATGCGTAACCATGGCAACAAGCTGGTTTACAATCGTGAGCAGCTGATTAACATAGGAGGGCTGAAATAATACCTCATTTGAAGCCACAATTCCCAAATGAGCTAAAACATAAAAAGCGTGGATGCAGAGCGGGAGCAAAATGGAGACAGAGAAAGAGGAAATTCAAACCACCTCTTCCATCGATCATAATGGGCAATGTGAGATCACTGGCCAACAAGATGGAGGAACTCCAAGCCCTTTCAAGGACTCGGCCAGAGTTTCGGCAATTTTGGAACTGCTGGAGGAGATAATGCAAAGAAGGATTCTCCAGAGAATCAAGAAAATGATGGACAACCCTGAGCATTCTCTTCACAAGACTGTCCGACAACGGAAGAGTGTCTTCAGTCAGAGGCTTCTTCAGTTTCGCTGCAACACTGACCGCTACTGGAGATCCTTCCTGCCAACAACCATTGTAATATACTATAATTCTTAGTTTGATGACTTGATTATTATTATTATTCTGAGCTACTACAGCATTTAATTTCCCTCTGGGATTAATAAAGTATTTTTGAATTGAATTTAATTGAAAAATCTTGTTTGTTGTTTTAAAAGGTTAAATCGGATCTCAACCCATTTAAAATCACACGATTAGGCCTGACTCATGTGATTGGATCGCAGTATCCTACACTGCTTTTACTTAAAACATTATACAGTGTTTGAAACATTTATGATTTTCTAACGTTTGTACACATTACCAAATAAAATAAGTTTGTGTTGTGATTTGGGTGCAGAGTTTGATTCAAACATCTCAACCGTCCGTACCCCTGTTTCATTTGCTAAATGCAGCCAAACCGGTATTTTGATTTCATTCTCGGCACTTTTATTTTAAAAGCAAAAATCGGACTGGCTCAAATTTAAAAGCTGTTTTGCAACAAACAATAAAAACTCATGAATGCATGCAACAAGGGCATGAAATGTCGCATTACACATGACGCAGCAGGACTCCATCAAAGCCAGAATGGTAGGAAAATGAATCAGCACATGTCAAACACTGAAAGATCTTAATGGTTGGAATTATTTTTACTTCTTTTTTTACTGCTTTCTGCTTTCTCAGTAACATCTACGTTCCTCCTCCTCCACACCTCTCGATCTCCTTCCTGTGAACTTTGGAGAACCCCTGAAGCTGAATGGGCAATAAAACATCAGAAGACACACTTAGATGTATGAACAGCTGACTGACTGCGTACAAAGAAACTTGTTGTATTTCTCTCCTGCTTCACCTTCTTCACCTCCTGATCTGAAAGCTATTTTATCATGAGCTGACAGAGCTGACACATTTACTCTGTCCTTTGGAGTTCAATGTTAAACCCAGAAAATTAGCATCGACTGTAAAAGCTACGGCATTCCCAGTAATTGAAAACAGTACTAGCATTAGAGAAAAGTCCCAAACATCTGCCCCAACCAGTTCCGAATAAAGTTACCAAAGGTAACATGCAGACAGGAACGTGTTACGCTTCAACGTGGATGTAAACGACTTACAAGAAATAAACTCATCCCAAAAGAGCTGGTTTATAAAGAGGATTTATGCAGGGGGCCATCGACTAGCACACTGCTGCTAACCACTAAAACATTCTCCCTCTCCTGATAATAACTTTTTGCTTTCCTTGACGTTGGATGTGCTACTACTAGTTTATCCGTTTAATTATAGATCCACTAGGATAAATACAATAAAGTTTATCTCTCACCAAATAGAATATTTACTAAGAAATCACAATATAACTATAGACACATTACTTGTCTTTGTGTGTGTGTGTGTGTGTGTGTGTGTGTGTGTGTGTGTGTGTGTGTGTGCGTGCGTGCGTGCGTGCGTGCGTGAGTGCGTGCGTGCGTGCGTTCGTGTGTGTGTGTGTGCGTGCGTGCGTGCGTGTGTGTGTGTGTGTGTGTGTGTGTGTGTGTGTGTGTGTCTGCTCTGTCTTCTCCATCCCCAGTGAGTCGTGGAGGATGGCTGCTTATACTGAGCCAGGATTCTCCGGAGGTTTCTTCCTGTTAAAAGGGAGTTTTCCTCTCCACTGTCGCTTTATGCTTGCTTAGTATGAGGATTGCTGTATAGTCACTGACACTAGTCAGTGACTTGATGCAATTTGCTGGGTTCCTTATATAGGAAACATTATTTCTGATTGGCTTAATGAACTGACCTGAATTGGAATGTTTATTATGTGAAGTGCCTTGAGACGACTCTTGTCGTGATTTGGCGCTATATAAATAAAATTGAATTAAATTGAATTTATGAATAATGCACAGGAAACCAAGTGAAACTAATTGTTGTAAATTACACTCAAGAGCAACAGTTTGATCTTTATGACGCATAATCCTTTTACCGGTTTTCTAATTGTATATTTTGAATCAACACTATCAGAAATGTGCAACTTAATCAACAATAAGTTTTGTGTGGAAAGCACACGAAGGAAACATTGTCAGTCACCTCTGCTCCAGACAGCACCAAGAACAGGGAGAGCATTTACATCATGGAGTCTCAGTGACCCAGACAAGTCTGCTTCCTCCAGAAGGGAGGGCATTTGCAGTTTAGTAGTGCTGCAATTCAGGATCACTCTCCAATGAGCTCACTCTCTCTCTGTCAGCCTGCATCACTAACAAGACATGGCATTCAGTCACAGTCTGGTGCAAAGCTCAGATAGGGGCTGAATCTTTTCAAGTCTTGCATTTTGGAATGTTAAAATGCCGTATTCATGAAAGCACCGGCCAGGATCTCACAGGGAAAGTATGTGCGGGCTGGTTGGAGCGGTTTGTTTTCAGAACAGCGTTAACTCCATTGGAACGTGGCTGCAGCGCTGAGCTGCATACCACCCTGTTTCTCTCTAATGAACATCAATCAAAGGCACATTTCAACAGAGACACAGACCACCAAGTGTATACTTACAGGCCAAGGCAATTAACTTATTTCTGGACTGGAAAATATTTTCTTTGCTACTGTCTTCTGAAGAAAACTATTTTAGAAAGAAGGGGAGAAAAAAAAACAGGAAAGTGCAGCTTGCTGAACAAATCCCAGGCATGTAACCAGTGGCTGGGCAAGCTTCCTGGCAGGGTGACATCCTGCCAACTGCTCGCTCTTCCTCTCTTAAACTGCCAGACCCTAGTGTTTGTTAACTTGAGGCCAACATTCCCCAAACAGCTAAGAACAGCAAAGATCAGGGTGGCTGGAAGTCAAGCAGCATGGGTGTTTATTATCTGTGTCCTGCGGCCATGGTTAAGGGGCATGCTTCGAAGGCCATTTGGAACCCCAGAATTTTAAATCAAAGCCTAATTTATATTTCTCCGTCTGCATCGGGACGGAGACGTGTAATGCCATTATGCATTAGCGCAAGAGCTCTCCGACTGGCTCGCAGTGACGGAGACATGCCCTGATTTTTAACCCTCTCAGGCTCAAAATAAGTTTTGATAAAAGGACGAACGCTCATGAAATACATATGTGGTATGTGGTAGTTCACATTAGTACCAAAGCAAGTTCCTAGTTTGTGAATTGTTTGTTCACTGACAATGGCAATAAACCTTTTCTGATTCTGATTCTGATTTAGCCCTTTGATGCATAACGGTCACTACAGTGGACAGGTACTCACAATTGGTATTTATTTATTTTTTGCCATTAATCACAGCTGTTGAAGACTTTATCGCATTTGAGCCCCTCCATTTGGACTTCAGTAAGTCAAGCCAACATATTTCATGTTCAGAATGCACGCTGTCCACTGAGGTGGACATGTAATAAATTAATTGTAAATTATACAAATTTACTACAAATATTTGTTGAAATTTGTTTCATTCACACCTAAAGATGAATGAAAATAACTGTTACAAAAGTCATGGTTGAAGATTTCATAATTCATGCATCAAAGGGTTAAAGTTCACATCACAGCAGCTGTTGTACTCCTATTCCCTCTTTCCCTCCGTTGTGAACAACTCCTCCACTTGAGGCAAGACATCTCTTTCAACATGGCAGTTCACCTTTTTTCAGCTGGGGCAGGTTGTCAGATCTGGAGTTTCTGATCCTCCTCCCAGCTGCTTCACACTCAGCGGTGAACCTTCCCAACAAGAACTGGAGGTCATACATCTACGATGCTCAGGGGTCCTCATCATGAATAGATGCCCACATGCAATTCTCCTCAGAACCACATGTTTTAAAACTGGCACGTACCTTATTTTCCAAACTTAGTCACAGTTTACCACAAAATTTTGCTGATCGTGCAACTTATATATCGAAATATATCATTTCACGTGTTGGTTATTTTCACACTGACAGCTGAGAAAGACTGAACACTAGAGATGCACCGATACTGGTATCGGTATCGGTGCCGATACCAATACCAGTATCGTATCGGTAAAAGTTAACCAATACCAGGAACCGATACCAATGCAGTTGCTTGAAAATGGCTTCACTGTAACTTGTCATTTCTGTTCACCTAATATTTTAGTTTTGTGATGATTTCCATTCATGTCTTTTACTTTTTATCTTCCTCACAGTCTTCCTGTTGAAAGCAGAGAAGAAAATAAAATCTGTATTCCAAATCATTGCATTTTTTGTGTGTGGCGGAAGTATCGGTATCGGTAATCGGCATCGGCGAGTACTCAGATCCAAGTATCGGTATCGTATCGGTTTGGAAAAAAGAGGTATCGGTGCATCCCTACGAACACAAATGTCCCCAAAAAGAAAATCAAATTCTGCAGATTACAAGTTGCAAGTAGTGAAAAATGCAGCTGAAAACAGTAATTCAGTAGTGCAAGAAAAAAAGTTTGGAATGAACAAGAAACGTGTGAGCGACTAGCAAAAAGTAGAGGTTACTGTTAATACAGAAAGCAAAAAAAAAATTAAAATTAAATTAAAATCTAATTGCAGGCTAAAAGCTAGATGGCCATAGCTCGAGGAATGAGTTCACAAATGGGTGCTTGAACAACGTGCTTATAATTGGTGCAGTTAGATCTCCACGCTCAGGTGGTTGTCAAGGCGATGACTATAAATGACTTTGGTGGGAGGGCCTTCTTGTTACCGCTTCGTGCAACACAACTGCCTCTCAGAGCACAGACCGTTGCTCTGTGACCCGTCCAGTGGGACTTGCATGTTTTTCCTTCTTCATTATGTATTTTTGGGCTGGTGTAACTTATAATCCGAAGCAAATTACACTCCAGACAATACAGTACTTCCATTCACAAAGAGCGAGTCCGTCCTTCCACTAGGACAAGAGAACAACTTTAACACGTGCAGCATCAGATAGAAGAGTCTGAAGACTCTGTGTCTCACAGTGATGAGTACAAAATGTCATGCACGTTTACCAAAACCTTGATGAAAAGTTCTTGTCTAATTTCAGTAACTGAGTGGAGTAAAGATTAAACAGAAAACATGAACTGATGTTTGCAACTCCCCTCACAAAAGGTGGAGCTGGTTCCTGGGAAGGCATTTGTCTGAAAATGCTATCATGGAAACAGGATCTGCAGTGACCTAGATGCTGAGTGGGCTGATATGTCACAAGGAGCACAACACACACATCTGAAACTCTTTATAATTCATTCATGCTGATGGTTTTGTGTTGCAGGGTCTGTTCGGGTCTCAGAAACAATCTTCCCGAACTCACAAGCTGCAGCATTTAAACCATGATTAGCAAAACACTGTAAGAAATGTGCTGACTTGCAGTCTGGGATCATCTTCTGTAACCTGAGGCAAAAACTTGATGAATGTATTTGTTCTCCTGCAAAGTCTCGGTGTTTCCACCGTAGGGTGGCTAATAGAAACAACGCCTGCGTGCATTTAGTACTGATAAGTCACTCATCAGAGAAACACCCGTTCTGCTTTGGATTCCAAGACTCAGGTTCATAAATAACTCCAGGAAAACATATCTATTGATGTATTTTTACAAGCATGTCATTTCTACCTTCCTGTGAAGAGGATGATGCTTTTACAGATCACAAGGTTGAGGTTTTTTCCTCCTCTGCCAGTAACAGTTTGAAATGTGGCGTTAGCGGTTTGATGGAAGAAAAGAGCAGAAAACTGTTTTATGCATTGTTTACAAACCAGTTCTGATCCTGAACGCAAGCCAACAGAAGTGATGATCAAACGAGCATTAACCACATCACTTCCTGCTCGGGGAAAAGCCGCTCCCACATCTGAACATCATTTACTATTGTGAGAAGGAGGAATTTCACACGCAGTATATGTGTGTGTGAGAGAGATCTGTGGGAGTGTTTTTCTAAAAAAGGGTGTGTGTGTGTGTGTGTGTGTGTATGTGTGTGTGGGTGAGTGTGTGGGAGGAGTTCAGGAAGTGGTGCAACTAAAGGCAAGAGGACATCCATGTATGCAGATGCCTACGAAACAGGAAGGAGGACACACATCAGAGCCACGTCCATCCTGGGGGATGGGTGGATCTCATCCACACCCTGGCACTCAACACTTTAAATCATTCTGAAACGGAGCTCCAGTCGCTCAGGGAACATTCAACCCAAAACCTCTCCACTGTCTGTTTATCGCACAAACACAGGTGTGAGAAATTAAAGCAGTTATGATGAAATTAATAGTTTCCAATAAACGTGAGCCACTCAACCAGACGCTTTCTAGTTCTGCCAGCTTTGCACAAGGAGCAGAAGCCCATGCAGCAGCCAATTAGAAACACACCTGCAGTCTGCTTTGTTCAACGCCTACACCGACTGGGTCAGTGAATATCTCTCCAGAGCTATATTTAGTAAAACACAGAATGCATGAAACAACATTTTCCCCAAGATGTTTCCCTCTTTTTTTCCCTAAAACTGAATCTAAAACTTGTTTGCTGCTCTTGCAAGTTCGACAATTCTCTGGTGTTCAGAAAATGAAGACTTCCACCTGCGTTTATTCTTGTGTAGGAGTCTGCAACAACTTTAAAGAATGCTGCAGCTAAAGGACAGTTAACCATCCTCGTATGTATCAAATACAAAAAAATGCTTTGTTGTTATGAATTTATTTCAGCTTTTTCATCTTTACGTAAAACTGGGCTAAAATAAGGGATGATTGTGAAGAACCATTGGGCAAATAAAGGCTATTTTCCTTGATAAAGCACTAAGCTGCACCTTCAAAATATATTTAAACAGCATTAAAACTGCATCCGGTTGCTGATTATTTATTTATGATTTAAATAAGTGACATGTCTCTGCATGCTGGAGAGCTAAAGGTGTAATAATGTAGGAATGAAGTAAGAATGCCCTGTGATAAAATGTGGTTACTGCAGCCTATTTTATTAAATGTCACTTTCTCACTGCTGCTCTGTGTGTTGTCACCTGTCATGGATCACCACCAGAAGACTCTAAATGACAAGTGAAGAGGATTTATACACAGTAAGTAGATAAATAGATACATATATTGTCATATTGTCATGTCATTTGGGGCAGCAGTAGCTAAAAGGGTTGAGCGGGTTGTTCAGTAATCGGAAGGTTGCAGGTTCGATCCCGACTCCTGACAGAGAATTCTGCTGTTGTGTCCTTGGGCAAGACACTTAACCCACGTTGCCTGCTGGTGGTGGTCGGAGGGACCGGTGGCGCCAATGCTCGGCAGCCTCGCCTCCGTCAGTGCGCCCCAGGGCAGCTGTGGCTACATTGTAGCTCATCACCACCAGTGTGTGAATGGATGAATGATACACTGTAGTGTAAAGTGCTTTGGAGTCCTTACTCTGAAAGGAGCTATACAAGTGCGGGTCATTTATCATTGATCATATCTGGTGTGAGCAGATGGGTGTTTTACGGTAGGGAGCACTTACTACACTTATTACGGTAGTATGACTCCGGCATTAAAGGTTGTCTTGCTGTTAGCTTGCAGTTATAGTTCTGAACGGCTAAAGGAAGTAAAACACCGTGATTGACTCACTTCACACACACATTTAACTGTAAAATCAAGTTGCTGGTAATCGAAAAAGTAACTTGAGTATTATTAGTGCCGATTAATTTTTTTTTCTCTTTTTTTTGCTTCTAATTGTAGTGTTCACATTTAGCTATGTTAGCTCTATCTTAGCCTCTAGCCTTCTTAGGGGTACAACAAATAACTTCTGGTTCATTCCTGTTTACTTCAGTTCTTTAAACAACTCTGGAGTTTTTTCCTGCCAATGTCAAATTACAAATGCCTGCACTGCACCGTTAGCTTTGAACAGATTCGGCCACCTCACGAGCTAACAGACTGTAAACAGTAGCAACATCCCTTTGTTTGTTTTGTTTTTTTTTCAGAGGAAAAAGCTGACGACCCCCCAGCCAGAAGGAAATCTCTTTCAATGTAACCTTCCTTCCAACATAACTGAGACATTAGGCTGTTTGTTATTATTTCACTGTGGATTTCTTACATATTGCTCCTTCAAATAAACGCAGAGGACGCTAACAAACTCTCAAATAAGATAAACAGTTGTGTGTTTAAAACTTATAATTAAAGTAACTTTGCAGATGCTGCTGAAACTGCCTGTTTTATTGTGTCATTTTGTTTTAGATATAGTCCATGCACTTACTATTGAGCTTTGAAAACTTCTAATGTTTCTATTGTCAGATTTTACAGTAACATCACTCAGGTTCAAGTCATGTTACAGGGAGCCCTTTCAGAGGGGCTGAAGGGCCACAAGACCCCTGATTGGCAGGTTGCAGACCCCTGAGTTAGAACTAAAGTGGCATGGTTTATAATGCAGATTCTTTGCACTTAAGATAACACACACACACACACACACACACACACACACACACACACACACACACACACACACACACACACACACACACACACACACACACACACACATGGACCAGCAAAGAACTAGGTGGCTAATTCATCAGTTATTTCTATTTTTTTTTTCAAAATTTCTCATTCACAAAAATGCTGATAATAGTTTAAAAAATGTTGTGCACAGTGAAGAAAAATCATTTCTGTCATGATCTGTAGACCAACTAAAAGACTGCCCAGCACTGCCACCATGTGGCAATCTTGTACTTGTTCTATAATATATAATAATAACTTGTTCACTAAAATCTTTTTAAACTGTTTTCTTACAGTCAAGCTTCATGTTCCAACAGTCTTGTTTTCACCTTCCCGTTCCTGTTCATTTTGAATATTTTTTATTGTTTTTTGAATTTTGAATAATCCACTGTATTGAAAATGGGCCTTCCTTTTTAAGAAAAATAAATGTGCATCAAAATGAAACTTGGGAGGGGACACTGAAAATATGTATGCAACCTTCTGCACACCAACCCACCAAAGGGACTGGCTTTTGGAAGCACTTTTAAAAGAAACATCAGCTTTTTGAGGGTTTGTCTGCTGATTGCATCAGGACTGTACACCCTTTTGCCATCTCTAGGGGGCAGCACGTGCAGACCGTCTTCAGAGTCATTCTGGATATGGGGACTGGGTCTGATTAATTATGGATGAACTAGGAAAGCAATGTTTGCAACCAGAGCTGCCTCTCAGTTATAGTGAGTCAGCAGCAACAATTGTTTCAGATGGGAGCAGCAGATAAAGACACACGCACCATTAGGAGAGACCGCCTGGAGGATCATTTACGTGTGTATGATCAGCAGGAGGCTGGAAAGAATAAGCAAAGGAAACGTTTCACCGTGTGTGCATGCATGCATCCCTCTTTGCAACGCCAGGCTTTTAATTTAATTGGATTTCTTTCTTTTTTCCATTTGACGGATATTACTGTCAATTTTATTAGGGAGAGAACCTTGGAAACACTAACAGAGAAAGAGTCCTGCTCACTTTACAGTGGTGTTATTAATATTGAGCTATAATATTAAGCTGCATGAATTCAAGAGCGTTTCCTGAAGGGTGTTTTGCGAAGGGAGATTCTCCGCTTGGCTGAGCTCTTTTGAGTTTTAAGTCTTTTAGTGAAAGAGGATCTGTTTGGCCACATCGCCATGGCAACAGACTGAACATTTAACATGAAACACAAACCTCTGCTCTCATCTCTGGTCTGAATATATCCAGTAAAAACAGTAAAACATGCAATACAACGTATTCCTTAATTTCCCATGAAAGCTCTTCAGAATTTGATGTTCTATTCACCAGCGCACAGCAGTCAATTAAACTATGTGCTCATTAAATTTAAACCCACCCAACCCTAGTTTACTGACAGCTGAAATTACAAGAGATCAGAAATTTGAGCTCACTTGATAATTTGAGCAGAAATAATAAATAATTCCTGCTGGACTGACACCTCCATGCATCAGAAGGGTTACATTTTGCTGTTGCTGGTGGGGATATTTATGCTGTAAATAAACCATGTTGTTTTAAGATAACAGCATCTCGCTTTGCTCTAGCCTGTGCTACATCTACCCTTTAGCCTATCGATCCTGAAAAATGCCAAATCCACTCCTACATGCAGATCTTTCAGCAAACAACCTAGCACAGAAATGCATCTCAAAATGGCCAAACGCTCGCTGTGCTGGCTAAAACCATTCCTCTACAGCTTGACAGAACATGTGGAAAGGGTTTCAATTCAATTCAAAAATACTTTATTAATCCCAGAGGGAAATTGATTGCTGTAGTAGCTCAGAATAATAATAATAATCAAGTCATCAAAGAGTTGTTGTATATTACAATGGTTGTTGGCAGGAAGGATCTCCAGTAGCGGTCAGTGTTGCAGCCAAACTGAAGAAGCCTCTGACTGAAGACACTCTTCCGTTGACGGACAGTCTTGTGAAGAGAACGCTCAGGGTTGTCCATCATTTTCTTGATTCTCTGGAGAATCCTTCTTTGCATTATCTCCTCCAGCGGTTCCGAAACTACCGAAACTCTGGCTGAGTCCTTGAAAGGGCTTGGAGTTCCTCCATCTTGTTGGCCAGTGATCTCACATTGCCCATATGATCGATGGAAGAGGTAGTTTGAATTTCCTCTTTCTCTGTCTCCGTTTTGCTCCCGCTCTGCACCCACGCTTCTTGCGTTTTAGCTCATTTGGGATTTGTGGCTTCAGTTGAGGTATTATTTCAGCCTTTCCAATGTTAATCAGCTGCTCCCGATTGTAAACTAGCTTGTTGCCACGGTTACGCATCATAACAAATGCTCAAAAAGTGAAAAAAGCTAAAAAAAATAGCAGTAAAATCCTCCAAACTTCACAGCACCAGAAACAGAAAAGTCAAATGTCCAAAAAAATACAGTTTTTCTTGAGAAACTAGAAGAAAAAATGCCCAAGAAAAGGCTAAACTTACATATAGTCAACAGAGCTACTCTAACATGCAGCCACCCAGAGCAGCGCAGTTCCGATGTTCCGAGTTTAAAAGGCAAGTCACCCCCAAATAAACATTTTTTGCTGATAAACAAAATAAACGAGTGTCTAATCGTGCTGCAGACACGTGTCGTCAATAATTTGGCACTTCAGTGCATCTTAGTTAAAATTTAAATATTCTGCCTAAAACTGGCAGTGTTGTGCCGTTGTCAGGTAAACACTCTGCACTGCATTTTAATTTAAATCTGCCACCGCTATTGGCTAAGAGGTATGCTATGATGTAAACTGGTACATTATGATGTCACAATGTTGTCGTGAGCCTGTGTGTGTGTTTGTTAGCAGCTCCGCCTTCTCGGTCTGCCAGGCGACAGAATTTGTTGCATTTTTCAAACAGGAAGTGGGAGTTGAGTAAGAATCTGGTAGGGGGTGACTTGCTCTTTAAATGTTTGACATTTAAACTGTCAGGGATTCAAATCTAAAGCTGCGAAAAAGCTAAGAAACAAATGTGTTTATTAACCTTTCACAACTGAATGAGTGTGTGACTCCTTCACCTCTGTGACGTGCTCCAGTGATTAGGCTGAGAGGCCTCTGACGTGCATCAAAACAGGAACTTTTTTTTTTGCACGTTGCATGGGGACGGCATCTGGCTGTGCTTACTAGAGAGGCCTTTGTGGCCAAAGCGGTGACGTACCGTGAAGCTCCCCCGTGGTCAAGTGTGGAATCTGAGTGGAGGGACGTGAGAAGGGGTAGGGCGGATGCTGGAGGGGGACGCAGCTCTTACAAGATTAAACTCTAAAGCCAGCAGGGGCAGCTGTATGGTAGCTAGGCAACGGGGTCAAGTTCACATCAACAACAAAAGACTCCCCTCAAGTAACGTCACACCTCACGGCAGGGGTAAAAGACTCGGTCAGGTCCGCAGGTACAAATACAGGAGCTGCACCGTGCATCACAAATAAAGTAGGTCACTGTTGAAATGTAAGCATGAACAATGTCAGTTTAGAAAGAACTGATGGGACTACAAAAAACCTTTAATTGTTATAATCTGAGTGTCAGGCATCTGAGGTAGAACGGAAGGCCTCTCTCTGCCCTCATTTACCACTACCTGTCACAGCATTCAAGAACGATAGCATTTTTTCGAATACTGTGCAGCTTAACTAACAACTTGTGACTCCTCAAGTCTGTCACGGTTCAGTGTTGGTAGGACCCAAAATGCAGTACCCAGGATGACACGAGGCAGAGATATTGAAAAGTAAAATCCTTTATTTTGAAGGATGAAACAGGGCAGGGAGCCAAAGTCCAAAAATGTCCAAAATCCAAAATAAACTAGAGATCCAGCTGAGACACAAGAAACACTAGAGACTAGGAACGAGAGACTGACAGAATTACCACAATGGACCGACACCAGACAGAGACAAGACAGGGTTTAAATAACAGGGAGGATTCATTAGGGAAACTGGCAGCAGGAGTGTGGAGTGAGGGCTGGAGGGAAGACAGGTGAATAGAATTATCAAAATGGGAAAACAGAATCTGAGGAGGGCCGAATAACCTAAAAACTCTAAAACACAAAACCAAACCTAAAGACTGCGGGAAGGACTAACACACACACAAATGCACAAATATAAACAGAACTGGGGAATGGACAAGTACACACACACACACACACACACACACACACACACACACACACACACACACACTCTGACCCATATAAACAGAACTGGGGAATGGACAAGCACACATACACACACATACATCGAGCTGGGGACAAAGAGGCTGGGGCTACAACATAAGACACCTAATTGAGACGCAGACAAAGGACACATGAGGGCACTAAGAGACACAAAAGGGAATCTAGAGGGGGATGGAGAACACCAGGAGGCACATGAAGGAAGGGGCAGACGCAGACCATGACAAAGTCTGAAGCCCCCTTCAGACAGGCCATGAAAAACGGAAACGTTCCGGACTCTGTCCGTAAGACCTTTGTGTCTGAATACAAACATCCGGATAACGTTTTCCGCAATTTAACCGGACGACGCCCCTAGTAACAGGTCCGGACTTGTTACGGACAAGGTGGCTGCTTCAGACTGGTGAGGTCGAGTTCCGGACAAGGGGGAGGGGACCGGGGGACGCTGTGCGCACCTAGATAGCCCCAGTGCTGTAGCATGCGGCGAACCATGGCAGCTCGCCTCCTACGGTACCGTCTAGACGCACGACGGAGAGCTTCACACCGCTTCAGTGATTCCTTTAACCATTGAGCTTCATCATCCAGGTCTCTTATGCATCTTCGTGTGCTTATGCTTAACATAAGTCCGATCCCCCCCCCCCCCCCCCCCCCCCCCCCCCCTAGACATCTGGAACTTTTCCCTGCTGTGTGAACGCAGCCGAAAGGACAAGTTCCGGTACAAAAGTGGTGTGTCTGAAAACACAGTTCCGGTTAAAAACCGGATTGAATTGTCCACACATATTCAAGAATGTCTATCTG